AAAAAAAAAAAAAAAAAAAAAGTAAAAACTAATGGATTTATTTATTTTAAGAAAAAGGGGAAAGGATATGAAAACGAAGGCTTAGGAGAAGCGATGAATTCGGGAGGGAAGTGTCGGTGCTGTGTGTTATAAAGAAGAAGAAACGCAGAGAGAGAGGTTGAAGAACTGTCGTAGTTCTCTGTGATTCAGCGGCGGAAATTTCTTGAATCTTCGACTTTGGCTTCCCCAAGTAATCAAGGAGCTTTCAATTCCATCCGCCATTGATTCCTCTGCTCAATCTTCACAGACTCTGGGAGAGAGAGAAGAGCAGGATCTCTGAACGGCAATGGGGGTGGATCTGAGACAAGTTTTGGCCGGCATACTCACCCTCACTATGTTCGTGATGCTTGGCCACATGATCAAGCGAGACCACTTTGATTCCGTCCAAGTACATGCTCTGAACCTCCATTTCCTTTTCGATCTGCTATTTTTCCTCCATTTTCTCTTCTACAGATCTTATGCTGTGCAATCCCTGTCTTCTCTGTTTTCTTTAGTTTGCGTAGTCTGATTTATTTTCATGGTTTCTTACTTTTACTTTACTTTTTTATGATCATTCTTGCTCAATTTTGTGGAATTTAGTTCTGTATGAGTATAGCTTGACTAGTAGTAGCAGGAAGCGTAATATCTGTGCTTCACCGAGATAGAGTATAACTTACGGAATTTACAAGCTATGTTCGTTCAGTTTCTCTAATGTACCTGTAGAATCAAGCACTTTTTTCCTTGGAATATTTGATTGTGTGATTTTTTGCTTCTTCTTACAAATCAAGTTTAAGAAATCGGAATCCTAGTTCATTGCGTTCTATCTTGCTTTTGTTTTGAAGGAAAAATTTCCAGGGCCAACGAAGGATGTTGCCAAAGTAACACCAGTGCGCAGCCTCAACAAAAAAGGAGCTATTCCGTGGAAAAATGATGTTCAAGAGCTAAAACAATGTTGGAGCAAACCCGAATATGGTTAGTATTCGAAAATGAGCGAAAGTTAACTAATACGTTCATTTACCATTTATCGTGCTTTTGTATTTCTTATCCTTTATATTCACTTATTACTCATTTTGGATTGGAAGCAGACGAGGGGAGGCAATCAAAGGGGTATGTCACTTTTTCATTGACCGACGGTCCTGAATACCATGTCTCACAGGTACCCAAGTAAAGTATTTGATTCTTCTGGTTTTTGTCTAGCTTGTTCATCATTTTTCCATATAAACAATTAACTCGATAGAGCACCGTGCATTATGACTGAGGTTCATGTTTTCTATTGGCTAATTATCCGTCATTTATAGGAAGTAATTGTTGAGGATTGTTGGGAGGGAATCCCATGTTGGCTAATTTAGAGAATGATTATGAGTTTATAAATAAGGAATACATCTCCATTGGTATGAGGCATTTTTGGGAAGCCTAAAGCAAAGCCATGAGAGCTTATGCTCAAAGTGGACAATATCATACCATTGTGGAGAGTCGAACAGTAATACGAGCATAATACTCGGGTTTCTTACTCTAAAACTCCCCATTTGTGGCATTATTATTTCGGTTCTTCTCAGATCGAGTTACTTGTTGTCATCTAGCGTTGTCTTCCCTTCATTTTACCACATTTCTTATTGATGCTTATTGCCTATTTCAGATTGCTGATGCTGTGGTCGTGGCTAGATATCTAGGTGCGACTCTTGTTGTCCCTGATATTAGAGGGAAAGAACTGGGAGATAAGTGGTAAGTTCTAACAAGTGCTGTGGCTGGAACAAGATTCTCCTTCTAAAGAATCTTCATCTCTTCTTTTATTGACTTGGAATTTCCTATTGCTTCACTCCATATTCATAGATATGTGCTGCTGTACCGTCTATGATTTCTGGGGAAACTATTCTGGTTGAAACCTGACATCATTGATATCTTCCAGGAGCTTTGGGGACATTTATGATGTTGAGAAGTTCATTGAAAGCCTCGATGGAGTTGTCAAAGTAGTAAAAACGCTGCCATCTGAAATATCTCCAAGAAAGCTCTCGACTGTCAAAGTGCCGAATCGGGTTACAGAAGATTACACTTCGGAACACGTAGAGAAGGTTTTTAAAAAAAGTGGCAACATAAGACTCGCAACTTACTTCCCTTCCGTAAATATGAAAAAGTCAACCACATCAAGTGATGGTGATTCAGTGCCATGTTTGGCCATGTTTGGAACATTGGAGTTGCAGCCAGAAATAAATGAGGTGATTGAATCCATGGTTGAGAGGCTAAAAACTTTGAGTCGTAAGTCTAACGGTCAGTTCATAGCCGTGGACTTGAGGATCGAAATGTTGGGGGAAAATGGATGCCAAGAGGCATCTGGAAGTAAAAGTTGTTACACTGCACAAGAAATAGCTTTGTTTTTGAGGAAGATTGGTTTCAACAAGGATGCTACCATATACTTGACTCAACCGAGATGGGAAAACAGCCTTGATGATCTCAAAGATTTGTTTCCAAAAACTTACACAAAGGTGAGTCTGGATGCATTTATCGTTCCCCGATACGTACTTCAATTTCGTGAGGATATATTTCGACAAATTAAGCTAGAAAGATTACTTCTAATGTTTTTTATTCCTCAGCTGCCTTTTTTTTAAGTTTGTTTGGATAGAATTTGCAACTAGGACCGAACTACGAATTCTCTCTCTTTATGAGAGTTAAGCTGTTCATCCATTACTTATTCTGGGAGTTTCTCCCAACTTTTGTTGCAGGAAAGCATAATGCCAGCGGACAAGAAGGCAAAGTTTTTGAATGCAGAGAGTTCTGAATATGAGAAAGTAATCGACTTCTACGTATGTAGCCAAAGCGATATATTCGTACCAGCGATCTCTGGGCTCTTCTACTCGAATGTTGCAGGCAAGAGGATTGGTTTGGGGAAGAATCAAATACTTGTTCCAGCCACCATTAGAGAATCCACAGCTTCTGCTTCCAACTTCATCTCCTCTTACATCACAAAGAAGAATCACTTGGCATATTCATGCTTTTGTTAGGCTCATTGTAAAGGTAAGTGAAGACACGACTGTATCGATCTCTGATTTGCGTGCTTCGAGCTTTCATGGCCGAGCAGATTACAGGCCAATTGTATTGCATTGCATTAGTTTTCATTTTGTTCTTAATGATTCCTAAACAGAAGAGTATTTGTTAAAGATAATTTTGTAAGACATGCAGCAGAACGATTAAGATGTCAATTATTGTTTGATAAAGGCTTCCATTTACAGTAATGAGATTGAGAGAAAGTATTACATTTTGTGTTCAAGTCCAGGGATTCTTTCTTTTATTATCTCTTCAGGGAAAAAAAAAATTATTAAATTTTTGGATTCTAGATTTAGAATAATTTCTAAGCAATATAATAATAAAATAAAATAAACAATATGTTTTTTTCTTTAAAAATGACTAATAATTGGATCAGAGAAAGAAACTATTTGAATGTATTATTTTATTGAAATGATGTTTATAATTTATCCGAAAATTTTATCTGAATTCCGAGAATAACTGACTAAGTCGTGCCTATATATTATAGGTTCATTCTCCAAACGGCATAGGGTCACACCTTTCATATTATTTAAGTAGATTGGGTGACAAATCCTCTTCATTTTTTAAATATAAAAAGTCAAAATTTTGAATTTTGATCGTATTCTCAATTAAAAAAATTGTAAAAGAAATACAAGAGGGTAAGCAGCATAAACAGGATCAAATTTAAAAGGAGCGTTTTGAAATATGACCGAGCAACCAAACGATACATTTGAATGTTAATTAGAATTTCTCATATGACTATCATTTTTCTGAGATGGTATTTGTAGCCCTTTTGTACCATTGATCTATAAGGGTTAAGAAGAGAAATGACTAAATAGAAATGGTCGTCTAAAAAAATATTAATTAAGAATTATCAATCGACTAAAATACTCCTGACAATTCGTAAGTACCAATCTCAAACTCAAGAAAATACATTTTGTTCTTGAATATTAAATTATATTTTCACTCAATTTTAAAATTTACCATCTTCACTTAATATAGATATGGTCCATAAAAATCAATCCAACTCCTTGAACTTGTCAAATTAAATTAAGATACTAAGAAAACCTTAGTCTTCCATAGAAAAATTTACGACCATGTAGATGTTAGGTATTTTACTATTTAATATTTAAATAATTTCTTAAAAAATATTAAATAAATCTCAGAAAACAAATATATGAAAGTGATTTTATATTATAGAGACGTTATAATACTAAATTAATGTAGTCGTGTTCTCATACAAGTCATAAAATTTTAAACATATTCCATACTTTTCAACATTATTTGATGGCAAGAAAGTGATTGCATACTCTGAAAGGCTCTCCGTGCAGAAAAATGATATCATAGGATCAATGTATGTAAAAGTGGTACACATGCCTCATCTATTTACTAGTTCTATTAGTAAGATTATTGCTTGATTGTGAAGATCGAGACATATTGAAATATATTTTAATCAATTAAGATTTTTTCCCTTAGTGTACATTTTTTAAAAAAATATTTAGTTTATAGTTTGTACTCTTTACTTAACGTTATGAACATTAATGAAAATCGAACTTTCAATCTCACTCTTAAAAATGAAACCTTCAACTCCACTTTTGTTTCTCATTCTTAACATGGTATCAGAACACCAATTTTGGTGTTCTTAAATATCAAAATTTTATTTACGGCGGAATCAGCCAAATCCAACTTCAATCCTACTTATGATTCTCATTCCTAACTAGACGAACAACGAACTTGATTACTTGAAATTTTTGCTTCCTTTGTTTTAACAGTCCGTTGTAATCCTAATCTCCTTTTTCTCATTGGCAAAATGGGAATTGAATCTCTCAAAATGAGAATGAAACGTACACCTTTAAGCCATTGAGTTAAACACACAAAATATGAACCTAAAGAAATGACTACATGTGAATGCATTGAAAAAAGGAGAACACAAACATAAGAACGGCCAAACATTTCAAATTTGCACACTAAAAAAATAAAAGCGTAGACCAAGAATAGAGAAAGAAAGCAAATAATAAAACAAAAGTGTAAATAAATTAAGAACAGAAGAAAACAAACCAAAGTGAAAGAAAAAAAAATTGTTCAATTACATGTAACAATCTCAACATAACCTTCTCATTATGTACGAAGTAAAGAAAATAAAAATAGGTGTAAAAAAGAGAGGGAGATGTGTGGGGAGAATAAGAAGAGAGGCTAGGGTTTGTTGGAGGAATAAAAGAGGCGTGAGGAGCAGAGAGCGCAATAGAGTTGGGTTTTGTTTTTGTGGTAAAGGAGGAAGAAGCAGAAGGAGCAGCGGACATCCATGTCCCAAGCTATTACAGGGCCGCCGCAATATGGGCACGCCGCTTTGATCCCTTTCTTTCCCACCACCACCTCTTCTATGTCCAATATTGGAGCGAACGCCATATAATTAATACACTAATTCTGATAACCCTTAACCCTTCTTCTTATCTTTCCCTCTTCCTCGGCTCCTTTATACCCCCAATTTCTTACAAGTCTCTATTATTCTAACCCATCTTCCGCCCAGCTTCCCCTAACCCATCCTGGCAGTTTCTTCATAAATTATACAGCCTTCCTCGAACCACCCCCCCTCCCGTCTATATCTTTCCTCGACATAGACCCCACCGCCTATCCTGCGTGTGCATTTATTTAAGGCTATTACATACTAAAAATATATAAAATAATTTATGTAAGTTAGATATATGAAGGGTCAACCGTTTTAATGACGGAAAGGAATGGGAAAAAGAGAAATTTGGGAAATGACAAAGAAAGAAATTAGGAAAAGAATTGTGGACCTTGAATTAGGAATACAAGTTTGAATGGGCTGATAATTCCAACCAAGGTTGGGAATGAGAGTACCTCAACCTCCTATAGACTAAGACCATAAGACAAGGCTTCAAAGTAATGAGCAATGGTTTTGAATAAGGTATTGACCATAATTCCTCATAGGAAATACTCTCTCTCTTTATTAAAACCTATCGAAAATAGATTACAAGACATTATCAGATATAAGAAGAAACTAATGCAATGGGTACTTTTTTGCTCTTTTTTTCTTTTGGGATGATAACTTAGGTTAGGTGGAGTGGTAATTTTAGTAGAGAATAGACAATTTATCCCTAAAAGACTTAAATTATTTTCCTAAAATATCTTGATATCTTTATTTTTAAAATACCTAAATTATTTTTCTAAAATAAATATATAATGGATAGTACAATTATTAGACTTGACCCTATTGGACTAGTAATGATATTTTAATAGAACGGGGTTAACTATGGTAGGCCCGTGAAAACTTGCTGACTAGTACACATGAAAATCCCATTTGCAAGGCAAGCCATCACTCTCTGGATCTCTATCAAAGGCCATGATCATAGTAATTCTAATATGGAAAAAAGAGAGGAAACTTACCTGTGATTCATGGGGATGACCCAGTAGGACTATGAGCCTTGATATCCACATGCCGAATACCAGGAACGAGCTCCTGGATCTCTTTCTCCAGCCTATCCATTTCACTTCCTAAACCAGTAACCACTTCTTCACCTGCAACAAGAGTTTGTGAACCAAACGAGTCAAGATCTCAATTTTGTTAAATATTGAATGCTCATTTCATCCATACCATAGTTCGCCATCGTTTCCAGCAAATCTGAATCGTCTCGGTTCTTTGCAGCTTGACGAAACTGTAGGACATGGGTCTAGTTCAGAGATCGATTTTGCTTAAAAGATCAAATCAAGCAAAACCAAACACTAGGGAGCATACTGGAGGTAAAAAGTATCATCAACCTCTCTAGCCCACTCTTCACGTCCAGTCCTATTTAGATAATTTTGCACCACTGTGACTCCATTGAAATCTGCTTCATATAGCCAGCTAAAATCATAATTTATCGATGATAAATAATGTCATAAACAGGGTTTAAGCATGTTGAAAAGTATAGGGGTCGATTGTGCTTTAGATAAAATCAATCTATTCATCCCCACAAGTATATGTTAGGAAACGCAGATCTCTTTAAAATGGTACGATATTATCCACTTTGAGCATAAACTTTCATGATTTTTTTTCCCAAAAGTCTCTCATTTGCAACCAATTATTGTCTGTAAAGTCTGGTCTTTGAACAACAAAAGTGATAACACAACGATATGATGTGGCAGCTATAGAAGGGGAAGCAATTTACAGCTGATGTAGGATGTCAAGAACCACGAACCACACAAGGCATAAAATAGACAGAAACAAGGCAATTCATATCATATTTGATGAAAGTCCCCGATACTTGATTCATCTTTTAAGTTGACTAAAATTTTTATGAAGAACCTAAGCATTAAAGAATCTATGCAACATTGATCGAGTATTGAAGAATAAATTGGAGGGGAAAATATATATGTAAAAGAAAATTCCACCTATTTCTGCCTTGAATCTATAAAATCCTGGTCCAATCACCTCGCTTTTGCAATCACATTAAGTATCAACAGCCTAGATAAGAAGACTTCAAACTTTGAGCTCATGAAGCATCATACTAAGGCAAAGATACAAGAGAAATTTATCAAGCATTATTATACGGGATCATTCTTCAAGAATTGGAGAATTTTCTGCATATCATTTTCATCCATTTCTCTACCGATCAAAGCATGCCGATTATGTTGGATGAGGAATATGTCCACATGCAAAATAAATTAAAAAACCCCAAGACTATTATATTGCTTATTATTCATGTAACTTATAGCTCAACCCTTTTCTAATCTACCGTATATTGCATCACCTTTGCCACTCCATTAGTAACCTGGCTTTGTTCTAGAAGCTGTTTCTTCTGCCGCACTTCACTATCACTGATTCGTATTACAGAACGTGCTGTAAAAGAGTTTGGTTATCGCTATTCTTGTGATTCCAAAAAAAAATTATTTGCTTACAGTTGCAGACAAGAGACATACCATTCCAAGTAAGTTTCCAACTACAACGGAACCAACGGGATCATAAATTGCATTCCCTGTGGTACTTACTGCAACAAGAGATGCAGCAGCAACAATAAGATCAGTGACTGCAGCACCATCCTGAACATTACAGAAAACTGGATCAACAGAATCTCTAACATCGTTTTCTTTACAAGAAACCATGCTCCATTGAGAAAAATGAAAAAAATGTACAAGGGCATTACAAAAAATAACAACCCAACAAAAAGGGGAACCCACAAAACTACAGTAAAGAAAAGTCCACAAAGACCACTAACTTTTTATAAAAAGAAAATCTTAAACCACCAAAAACGAAAAGGTCAGAAAGCAGGAGTGCCTAAATGGCGGACAAAGAATATTAATTGTGGGAATGCATGCTTGCTCTTGTCCAACAAGCTTAGATACTTCTGACATATCGTGCTTCATTAATTATAGTCTTAAGAACTTCTAATTATAGTCCAGAGTTTCCACTAACAAAGAAAGAGCTATGCATCAAATAGGAAAAGAGAAAAATTGAGAACGGTAACATTTGAAACGAGACTCAAATTTCAATTGACCAGTTACCTGTGAAGTCCACAAATTTTGAATTCCATTAACAATGGTAGAATCAGCACCAAGACAAAAGATCCCAACAGCAGATATCAATGACCAAACAAACCTCTCCTTAGAATATCCATAACTGTTCAACAACGAAGATATCTCAGACTTCTCAATTAATTCGTGGTCATATGAAAACACAAAACATTAACAGCCGCAAAAATATAAGTTCGCTAAGTTGCATTTGAAAATATAATTGTAATCAACCATACTATTCCAACACCACCGCATGAAAACCATCCAATTTGGTTGTTAAGGCAAGCTTGCAAGCCAAAGGCTTAAAAACAGCACCAGCCAAGAATATCTTTGAGAAATAAAATTAAACCCTTACGGTATGAGAGCCAAAATAAGACTCTAACCAGTTTGATTCAAACATTTTTTTTATATAAAGGAAACAATATTGCCATTGAAGTTGAAAATATATACTGCAGACATGATAAAGCTACGCAGCTGAAGATATGTATAACTCACGGATGAAGGGCATCAGGGGCCCGCCTTGAGCTACTCAGACCATATGCAAGAAGCGCCTACAATGATAAAATTAATTAATTCCTCTGCATTCAGTGATTAACAGCTCAAGTTAAAATTAGGCATGGATAGAGATACTTCGCTAGCTGAATGGTTAAGATACCTGATTTGCAAAATCGGCAACAGAGTGTACAACTTTGCCAACATGACATGACTTCATGTGGCAAACCAAACCCCAAATTTCAGAGAGAAGACAAGAAAATTGCACCATAGAGCAGTGGTAACCGCTCATTGACTAGGATAAAAATGTTATGCAGGTCAAATGAACACGACGAGTCAATGAAGAGAAATAATTTCCACGATGAGCCAAGTGAAGAAAACATAAGAACAGTGACGATAAAGTAGTCCTGATTCCTGAGTAAGTTAGTTAATTTCCTTTTTCACGTGCCCCCTCTAATATCCTATATGTTTAAAAATTAACTGAAAAGATTATATGCATCCTAATCTAACAACTTGAATGGAAATTTCTGCAGTTTTGCTTACTCGTATCAATTAAGATTTCATGTGTTGAATTTTATGAGTCTTAGCCGCACCCTGATATAGTGTTCGAGTGTTAAAAGTGTGAAAATATTACATTTCCCTGATCAAACCGATCGAACCTTTCGGTGTAGTGACAATTTAGCACTAGTTCAAAACTTCAAAGCTGAAAAGGACGCGATCGGGTCTGCTCACCTATACAGTAGTTAAAACAAATATACGAAGATAGAAGTGTCCAAATAAGTATGGATTTGAAAATTATAAAACTACATAATGGTCAAGGGAACTGTGCAAGAAAAAAATCCACTACCTATGATAATCATTGAATTCAATTCTCTGAACGGGATCAGCTCTAGTGAAAAAACCTGCAAAAGTTGCAAACCAATATTGGAAAAAAAATAAAATTAATTAACTGAGCACAAGAATAAATAATATCTCCGTTCCGAGCAAGAAGCATGAAGACCTTAAAACCAAAAGAGAAATGCGAATTCGAAACGGAACGCACCGATATGGAAAGCGTAGCGATGGATAAGAAGACGACGAGCGCGTTTAGAGTCCAAGGAAATCGAGCTCAATAAAACGGAGCGTCTCGAACAACTGGAAGCAGGTGCAAGTCTCTGCGACGGAAAGCGGGCTCCGATAAGAGGAATGCCGCAACTGTCACATTCTGGTTGTCGCTGCAGGTGATGCTGCGGAGTTTTAAAATCAAAAAGGGAAAGCGGCAAGGAAGTGCACAGAGAAAACGGAGGAAGAAGAACGGTGAGAGTGGTGGAGACCAAAACGTTGCAAGTGGGATGTTCGCATCAAAACACGATTGTGCAAGAGTTGATTTCGCTTTGTCCAGCTTCTTTATTGTCACAGCAGCAATCTCACGATTCCATTACAGCATTCCAAATCACGTTCTCTGAAAAAACAATGAGAACGTTCAATCGAACACGCAGAGACGACGATGCGCGCCGGCGGGTGATCTGAACAACAGGACGAATCAGAAGAGTTCTGAGGCGACATCGGCAGAAATTTACATCAAGAACTGTGCGATACGATGCTGACAGCTCTCTGTAATTTACGGGAGTTGATAAAAAAAATTCATAATACTAAAATCTTTAATATTTGCTTTAAAAATACTTTTAAATTTTTAATGATGTTATAAAATACTAAACTTTAAAAAATATATATTAATAACTTTCTACTTTAACAAATTCACAAATACTATATTTTAAAAAATAGCATTAAAATTAAAAAAAAGTATTAACCTTCCTAATTTTTATAAAAATTAAAAAAAATATTATTATTATGGTACGACGAAACTCCTCTATCAATATCTCATAATTTATATTTCAATTATTATTAAAAATTTATGAGTATTTTTTAAACGATCACTAATATTAAGGGTATTTTGAACTTTAAAAAAAATTAAAAATATTTTAAAAATATTTTAATGTGTTTTTGAAGTACGTTTAACTTTAAAAAAATTTAAGATATTTTAAAAATAAAATATCAACTGTTTTCTGCTAAATTAATTGTAAATTTATTTTCCAATTTTTTTTAAAGTTTAAATATATTTTTAAATGTTTTCTTTTTTTACTTTTAAAAAATTTTAAGTTATTTTTTAGATGAATGTTTCCAGATTTGATTTTTTAAATTGTAAAAAATACCCTTAAATATTATGTTATGTTTTAAAAATATTTTTATTTGAACAAAAAAAAAATATTAATAATATGAGTATCGACCTCTCCATTGAATATTCTTCATATAGATAATACTATAATATTTTATATTGATTTGATAGTGACATTTTCATTATATTTATAAGAAAAATAAAATTATTAAAAATTTAATGTTTACCCATCAATTGTGTGAATTTTATTCTATATTTTCAATTTCATCTCGAATTTCTTTTGGTTTACTGAGATAGAAAATAGAATTGGGAAGTATATATTATTATTAATATTGATATCCTTTAAATATGATACCAGAAGTACAAAAGAAAAAAATATAAAATAATTAAATTCTGAGAATAAAATAAAAATATACTCTAAATCAAATTATAAATGGAAGAATATTAGGATATATTCCATAAATAATATATCTCAACATTACCTCTTATTCAATTGGTTAAATCGAGCTAATCTAAAATTTTAAGTTGAGTCGGAATCTAACTACTGAAATACTATTCACTTTTCAATTGATTGGGTTAGGTTATTTTAAAAAAAAAAAAGTTTATTATGTTATATATACATTAATAATTAAAATTTCACAAAAACTCAAATATCAAATATTTAAATGCATTAAATATTCTTAATCAAAACTCAAATATCAAACATTTAAAAGTTCCCATACATCATTAATATCAATTACAAACATTAAATATTCTTAAATCTTCGTAATAAATAAGATAAGGTGAGTTAGATTATAATCCTATTTCAAGTTGGTTAAATTGACCCAACAAAAAAAAATGTTAACTCACAACAGACTCAAAATTTTCAATTTTTCAGAGATTTTTTTTTTTTAGAGACAGTTTCATTGATGAGTGAAATTTACTAGAGGGATGTATAAGCCATGATGTTTACAAAAGTCCTTTCCAATTTGCAATGAGGGAGGTATAAGAAGTAAAAATATTAGGCAGTTTATACCAAGATACAACTTGGTAAACAACATTGTCGAAAAGTTTTGTGTAGGTCTGTGTCGTTTCTGCAAATATTCTCTAATTTCTTTCTTTCCATAGATTCCAAAAGAGATAGGTTTTTCCATAATAGAGCTTTTGCGTTCTTGAAAGGTGATACGTTAAGGTCATATCCAAAAAATCCTCTACCTCCTTAGGAAATGTGAGATGTCATCCGAAAATATTAAGAATCGGCGTCCAGAAATTTTTCTTTTGCTTTCTTGCATAGTAGACACCAATTTGGAGAGAGAGTGATGTAAGACATTTTTTTTTGAAAATTTTCACTTTTGTTGATGACTTTATAAGCTATTTTCCAACTAGGTTATGTTCTTTCCATATTCTGTTTGCTATTTCCCAAAGGAAAAACTTTACATTTTTAGGTTGATGTCTTTTCCATATTGTCTTTGCTAGCGTGAAATTTATTGCTTATACTTTTTCCCCCATTTCCATCATCAAGGATTTTGTTAGCGAGTCTTCTTTGTTTGACAATACCACGGGGGCAAGGTCAAGGCTTAATTCGGCTCACTCCGTTGCTTCATTATCCTTTAGATTCCTACCAAGCTTCAAGTCCCAAAATTTGTTGACAACATTCCACGTTTCTTTAATCGTGGCTTTTTTGTTGTGAGAAAGCCTCTACAAAAGTGGATACTTCAAAGCTAACGTGGTGCTTTCAATCTATGGGTTGGTCCAAAATAATGTACTTCGCCCATTCCCCACCTTATGGCGAGTTCGGTGGGTGATGAGATTTTGATGTTTATTTATGTACTTCCAAGGCCCTTTTGTAGAAGATGGAGGGAGATCTTTGTTTGATGTAGGAGTATATTTAGCCTTTATAAGATTTCACCCTAAGGCCATTTCTTCAGGATGATATCTCCATATCCATTTGGCGAGGAGAGCGATCAGTTTCACGTGACAGCAGATTGTTTCTTGGAACGGGCACCGTTTGATCATTAAAGAGCTCTGGTTTCTACCATATCAACTGCTTGAAAAATGGAATCCAAAGAGGAAGAAGAAGAGCTTATAACTTTTTCAAATATGCAAACAAAGAAGAATCTCATATCATTCCTGCTATGGGATGTTGAAGCAACTCAAGCAAATAAAAACAAAATCCTTCATCAACATTTATCTGAGTATTACATCTTTTACAAATAAATTCTGTCTAAGCATCATCATCACATGGGAGCTGCAGCATTATTCCCAGAAGGAACATCTAGCAATAACACTATAATATAGGATGGATGCTTCAGGTTTTCGTCTATAAATCAACTCTACCAAGAATTAGAATGCAGTAAAACGCGTGTTCAATCAGACCGACCTTCCTTCCTGCTGCGCAACCGTATGTATGGCTTGCGTTTCTCATCTGATCTTTCAGGATATCCTCCTTCCTCGTTCCGGGGTACAATGCGTAGAGGGTGAGCTTCTGTGTTGAACACCCATTCATCCAAAGGAATGACTGAAGTTGGTGAAAAGAGAAGATACAGATATTTCAGTGTCTCTGCAAGGAAGAAACTTTGCATCATGTTGTCCTTTACACCTGTGTTGACCTGAAAACACCAGCCAAAGGCATGTCGTTCCGAGTTCCATACAGATTAATGACTAAAACAATGCCAGATCTTTTAAGAGTTTCGAGAATGCTCACGTCTTTCAGCCCGACGTAACCCGATTCTACCCGGGAATTCTTTTCGAATGCTTGAAATATGTTCCAACCCCACTCTTTGTATGTCTTGTTGCCAGTCAAACGCCAGAGGTAAAACATTGATTCTACTGTCTCTGGTCTCATTATATTCCAAGATGTACCAACGCTCATATCCTAACATTCCATATATGAAACAGCATTAAACCACATTACTAAAAGGAAACTGGTAAGAGATACTATATTAGTGGATTGATGATATGAACCTCTCCAGAGTGGAAAAAGTAGTTCTCTCCAGCTAATTTTGTTGGGGTGGTCTGATAGAAATTATAGCACGTCCAAGCAAGCTAGACCATAAAATGAATCAAATGAAGATATTAATTGAGGAGCTAAGGAGAAGAGGAATTAAAAGGTTGAAAGTTCTTACCTCTTCTGCAAGCGTTAAGAACTTCTTAGAATCTTCAGAATCATAACCAGATGATCCCAAAGCTATCATTCCTGGAGCAAAGCATGCAAGTTCATCCATCTGCAAAGTCATGCAAATTGGGGAAAGATATTCATAATATTTGATCTTCTTATAACATAATCGAGATCACAAATATCTTACCTTGTCAGTGAGGGAATCTCCACTCTTCTCACAAATATAAGTGAAAGATGATGGGGTTGACTTCCTAACCAAGCTTGAAAGACCTTCCATTGATTTCTCCCACATTTCCCTAAATTTAAAATATCAACAAACAATTCTGTATATCAAAATATTTGACACATTAAAAGATCAAGAGATATCACACGCGCAAAAAGCACTCATGGGTCATGCATTATGTCACATATCTCGAACTCTAAAAACCGTACAATCGTTTTCCCCCCAAATTTCTTATCCGCGATCTTAATTTCTTCAAAAAAAAAAAAAAAAAAAAAAATTCAGTTTGTAGTGTGATCATAGATGAAATGGCTTCTTACCGGTAATGTTTTACAGCAGAAGTTTTGTTTCCCTGTATCCACACTTTGAGCAAGTATTCATAAAAGCTGCAATGAATCTTCGAGTTAAAGGATACCAGTGAAAAGTTAATGGTGGTTTGGAAAATACTTGAAATGGAAGGGAAAAGCTTAAGAAAACCTTAAATGATTGAATACCTGTCGCCCATGGCACCAAAAGTTATGGTTGCATGTGATGCTTTTCCTTCGGTTGGATCAATGTATATGGGAAGCAGCCCATCGTCGGGGAAGCTTTTACTGAGCTGTGATATAACATTCTCAACCTGACATGTTGAGCACCAAATATTCAACATTCTAACACTTCCAACAATACCATTGATATACAGCATTACAGCCACAACAATAAGAAAACAATTAGAAATTGACCTTTTGCTGGTACTTTGGATCTCCCGTCCTTTGTGATAGAGAAATGAATTCAAGCTGCTCCGTACCAGCATCTGCAAGGATACTAAAACCCTAAGAAAAAAGAAAATTGTTAGGAGTAACAATAATACAGCATTTGAACTAGAAATAGCATCATTAAACATTATGGATTACAACTACGGAAGCTCATATCTCAAACCACAGCTAAAAAAAAAAAGTTGTCTAAAACAAGCCTACATCAGGCATGATTGGACTTGACAATCAACAACATTGTAATAGGCCAAGCCCACAGTTAGTAGATATTGTCTGCTTTGGCCCA